GGGGGGGGGGGGGGTTGTTGTTTTGTTTATTTCTTGTGTTAAGTTTCTTAGAAAACAGGCAAACTAGTTATCATAAAGTAAAGTAAAGAGGCATCAGCAGCTCCACAGCCACTGCTGATGCATATACTCATCTCATGCAGTCAGAAAAAGCTAAGTTGTCCAATATCCCCCTTTCACTGAACGATAAGCTACCCTTTATTAATTTACACTTGCTGGTGGGATTAGCATGAGCACAAGGGCAGTTACTATGGAGCAGTTAACACAAGGTAATCTGACATGATCTATTCCAGAATAAGAAGTTTGTCTGTAGTCTCAGATTCATAATGACAATGTTGCAAGGTCTTTATATCAACCTACATTCACTGCCATGGAAAAAGTGTATATATATTATTAGGGCCTGGTTTAAATCGCAGTCCCAGCTCACTAGTGGTCCAATTGTGGCAGGGGCCACCATTTTTCATCCAGATCATGCCTCCTTCCCCTCCCCACCAATGCCCCCTGATTGGTGGAGGGAGCAGGTTCAGGACCATCTGGATGGCTGAGCCTGGCTCCAGTATCTAGCAGGAAGGGGAAGGGGGGAAGAATACTGCAAATCTCCCCATGGGGCACAGAGCCCCTTCACTGGATGGGGCAGAAGGAACCCACCTGGCTACTGGAGGGGTGGTGGGAAGAGGACTTACCTTGCAGCACACCCAGCTCCTGGCAGACCCCAGCCTGGCCAAACTTGCTGGCAGTGGCTTGCCAGCACCCGCAACCAACAAAGAGTTGCGAGGCAGGCAAAGGGTCTGGAGCGTGGATGGTATCGCTCACATGCTGCTGCCCATGAGACTCGCTCACCGCTACCCCCACTCTGTATGCAGGTACCCTGCTGAGGCAGCGCTGATCACTTCCCTCCCACTGTCCACCTGGCCCCACCCAGCAATGCACCACTGCTGCTGCTGGCTGGGGCGGAGAGGAACTGGGCACTATACAGTGCTGCAGATGCCGCCCCGGCTCCATCTCGTTGCAATAAAATGCCAGAATATGGCCCAGCAAGTGGCTGTATTGTGGAATTGCATTGCAAATAGTAGCTTTTTTGTAGAAGAAAAAAAAAAAAAAATCACTTAAATCTTGCGATTTTCACAAAAAAATGCAAAATTCTGATTTAAACCAAACAGTATATATAATGGATATACGGTTTTTAAAATCTTATCAGGTAAACATCTTTTCCCCCCCAATAATCCATATTTATGACTGTTTGGGGCAATAAATCTTTCAGTACCAAACTGGAAGCAGAAAAATAGGAAATTTACTTCCAATCCTACATGCTATTCAGGAATTTTCAACCTTTTTTTTTTTTAAACAAGTGTACCCCTTCCGTCTCAGTTGCAGCTCATGTACCCCTTTATTTTTTTTCTTCTTTTCAAAGGGCGGGGGGGCAGATAGAGGCCCTGTGGTGATGGAGGGAGTGGGGCAGGGACAGGCACTGCTCAGCTGGGGCGAGGTGTGGGATGAAGCCGCAAGCTGCTTGTCCAGGGGATGCATGGTGGGCAGATCGAGGCCCCATTGTGTCCCTGGATCTGTGCGTGTGCAGAAGATAGGCTGCCACTGCAGGCAAGGGAAGGGGGATAGATCAAGGCCCCAGCAGTGGGGGAGGGAGTGAGGCAGCGCAGGGCAGCTCCCACCGCTATGTGCACCCTGGGAGAGCATGGGGGGGCCTGTGACCCCAGATCTATGCAAGGGGTGCAGGCAAACTGCTACTGCGGGCTGGGCCCTTCCCAGCGGGGGGCTGGGCTGGGCTAGGCTGGGCTGTGCTGTGGTCGGGGTGGGCAATAGCAGCACTGGCAGGTGCTGCCCAGCTGGGGCAGGGCAGGGAACAGGACCAAGTTACAGTTTGTCCAGGGGGCCGCTTGGGCCCCCAGATCTGTGCACAGGGAAGGGTGGGCTGCTGCTGCTGCAGGCTGGGGCAGTGCTGGCTCTTCCAGGTGGGGGATCTCAGTCAGGGCTGCGCTTGGGGTGGGTGGCAGAGCTGGGAGGGAGGGTTGGCAGGGAAGCTGCAGCCACCCCAAAATTCACCATAGCTCCCTCCCAGCACCACCACCAAATGCAGTGAGCACAGCCCAGCCCAGCCCCCTGCCAGAAAGAGCCCAAATGCAGCCCTCGGCCCCAGCCCACAGCAGCAGCCTGCCCTCCCCCAGGTAGATCTGGGGGGCAGCCCCCCCATGCCCTCCTGGGTGTGCATAGCAGCAGGAGCTGCCCCCTCAGACAAACCACAACTCTGTACCGTGCCCCACTCTGCCCACGCTGGGCAGCACCTGCCCAGCCCCTTTCCCTCCCTCACCCTCACATCCCTTCCCTATCCCCCACAACAGACTTACCAGCCTGACACCACTCTCCACGCTGCAGGGCTGCATATTGGAATTGGACTGGTATAGGCCAATACGACTCATTAAAAATCAGCCATCAGCATCAGCCCAAAAAATCTCTATTGGTGCACCCCTAATATACACTGCAATGGTCTTCAAATAATTATTTAGTGTTAACCAGTTACTGAACCAATTAACCAGTAATTGAACTAATTATATCCTTTTAAAAGTCATTCCTTCCCAACAGATAAGGAACAGTAGTCAGGTTTATAAATGATGCTTTGCATTAATTACAGGGAATTCTCTCAAAGTTTTCAGTTTTACAGCAATGCTTTAACTTTCACTTGAGTCATAGAAGCCTTAAAAGAACAAAGCAAGCTTCAAGGTATGTTGGTGTGGCTTTGGGTGCAAGTAAAAACAAACAAAAAGCCAAAACAAAAATACCCAACAACCAACCCTGATATTTCCTGAAAGTTCTGTAATAAAATCAGAAATATATATTTTAACTGGAACAGCAAAAAAGTTATAAACGTCACAAATTCCTGAAAAAAAGTTGACAGACATGAAAGACCCAATAATTCAAGAACACAACTCAGAACTTCTGAGTTTTTACCTTATCCAAAGTATCAACATGGATTTAGAAGCCTAGCTTTAAGCAGCTTTCTTTGAATCCCTGATCTTATTTGTTCTGTTTCCTTCACCACATTTCGCATATAATTTAAGCGCTACAGTGGGGGCCAATCTTTCTGGTAGGTGTACAACAAAATTAGCCCCACCCAAGTCCCTCTCCCCTAACTAATTGGTTGCACTGCTTTCTGCTTCCTGCCCTGTGCACCCTCCCTAATCTAATGCTGTTTTTAGGTCAGCATTAGATCAGGGACCTATCTACCACTGTGTTGCCCGTCCCCTCCTCAATCTGCCATGTGCAACACACAGAGGCTGCCACTTGTGGCACCCATGTCACAAGCTGGCCTCCCAACTTGCATTATGGGTAGCTGCAGATAAATATTTTTAAAGCACTCTAAAGATGAAGTAGTAACGTAGTTTACAGCACATCCTAATTTACTTCCACAAATACTTGTGTAAGATCTCTGTCAGTCTCAAAAAACCCACAAGTGTAAATTTAAAAAAAACCAATAAAACAAAACCACCCCAAACACTTACCAGGACAAGACATGTGTCTACCAATGAAAATGTGCCAGAACGTCCAATACCTGCACTACAGTGAATTACGGCAGGTCCATGTTCAGGATTCAATGACCCAGATTCTCTAACTTTAAACAAAAAGTTGAGGAATGAAGCTGGGGACTCGGGGACTCCAAAATCTGGCCACGTAGTATAATGAAAGTGAGTTATCATCCTGGACTCACCACTCTGAAAATGAAAAAATAGTAAAATTATACAGAAGAAGGCTCTTTTCACGGTTGCCTAACTGTTCTCCTGTGACTCATCTACTTCTACAGGCCTGGAGTTACTCGGCATTTCTATAAATCTTTCAGTTTGGTACAGACATTTTTATCAGATTGTTAGATATTTGCATCCTTAGATCCTAACCAACACCAGGAAGTTAGTATCCAATGTGGCAGTCATAAATTTATTTGCTTTTCTGTTTCAAGAGACAGTGAAGACAGCTACTGAAATCTCCAAGCCCCAACCTCTTCTGGTTTAGTTTAGTTTTTTTCTCTAAAAATAACTCTTTTTTCCTACCTTTCATAATTCAACTGATAGTAGCAACAGCATGAGTATAGACAAGGCCACAGGCTGCTGCCACCATTTTAAGCACCTTGCTAAATACTTCTGCTCACACTACATGCAAGCAACATTGTAGTTAAAATTCTAGCAGCTGCTGGGATCTTTAAATTTTATTTACTTTGAGGCAGCTTGATCATGGATGCTTATGAGACTAGGATACTTCCTTGATTTCATTGAGATCTCTCAATATCAGTTTGCTTTGTTTTGGTTTTTTAAACCATCTGATACACTCAAGTTTACTTAGTTTTATCAACATCTTATTTAACAGAACAATTTTTGGTACATCTACCTAATCTCTATAAAGTAAATAGTAAAAATAAGATTTAACAAACAAATGTATTGGTCCATAGAAGCTAAAGTCATTTTCATCTTCCAGTCACTAGGAAAAGAAATCTGCAAAATGGAAAGAGAACATACAAATATTTGTCTATTGGTCAGTTACTTATGAGTGGCTATGAAGGGCTGATCTACAAAAAGTTGCTGGTTAAAAACAGCCATTCAGGTCACATTTGTCATTCCTCAATAGTTGCTACAAGTGTACTGAAGTTCTGTCCAGTTACTGCCTTGTCTTTTGTCCTTGGTTAATATCCAGCTCTAGCTCTCAAAAGGAAAAATATATATATGTTTAATGATTCATCTTTGTCCCTATGGTTTAGATGAGGGGTGAGCAAAGTCCAGCCCATAAGCAGGATCAGGCAAACTCCATTTCCCAGGAGCCCCTGCCCACGTAACTGCAGCTGGTTTCCATGGAGACCCCAGGAGCAGCAGGGTCATGACAGTATAGGGCCAGGGTTTCCATGGAAATGGGCCCCAGCAGTGTTGGCAGGGTGTGCAGCTGCTCAAGGGCTGGGATCTCGTAGCGGTTACAGCGTGGTCCAGAGCTGCAATCTACTGCCCACACGCCTCAGGCAGGGGCATGCAGGCAGCAGATCGTGGCTCTGCCCTGGCTAGACTATACTGTCACCACTGCAAAATCCCAGCCCTAGAGCACCTCCCCACCCTACCAGTACAGCTGGGGACCATCTCCATGGAAACCCCAGCCTCATGATGTCACAGCACCACCTACTGGGGTCTCCATGGTAACTGCCGGCAGATGCAGGCAAGGGCAGCTGGAAATAGAGTCTGGCTGTCCACCGGATCTGCCATGTTGCTCATCCTGGTGTAAATCCATCTTGACGTGTACAGGGAATATATTTTGTTGTTTCAAAGGGACTAGTGATATTGTCATATTCAGGGCAAAAGACAATCCAGGGCCCCAGGCCAGCAACAACGTGCCCAAGTCTTGCTTTGCTCACGGAAAGTCTCACTGAAGGCTGGCCAATGAACTGGCAAGACACAAGCCTTAAATTCTTCTTTCACACATGGCATCCAATCCCTAAATATGCATTTGATAAACAACATTAGTCTTACACTACTATGATTTAGCAGCCTGCAGTAAACATTCCCTTCGTGGAAACACAGTAAGATTCTCTTTATGACTGCCTGAAGCACAGTTTTAAACCAGATTTTGTGCATTACACCCACCATTTTCTATTTATACCATGTTTACCCAAACAATGAACACTATTACTTTTCTATACAATTAAAAAATAGGATGTGCAGCATTCTTTAAAAAAAAGGATAAAAATCAGCACATTTAAATTGGACAATTCAGTGAGTAACATAGATCTAATCCTGAAAGAACCTGAAGGTTTAAGGATTGGGCCTCAAGGGCATTGAACAGTTACACAATGATAATGCAGAGGTGAAAAGGAATTCAGTGGGATAAACTGAGCCATAAAACAGAAAACCTGAAACAATGCCACCAGATAATCATGTTAGGAGTTCTGCTTGTCCATATAATACTCTGCCAAATGATCTGTTAAGTTCAGGCTGACATTAAGAGAGGACTACACATTCTTCACAAAAGTTTTACTGGAGCTACCCCTACAACAGTGATTAAAATTAACCAGAAAAAGTTTGGTGTTAAAATCTTAATTTAGTATTACCACCTGCAATCTACAACCACAGAAGGCAAATGAAGCCAAATGCTTCATTTTGGCTTAGCTAAAACTTGAGTGCTTGGACACAAAAAATATGGTTGCAAGGTAATTCTTTTCTAGGGTTATTTAAAAACAAACATACAAAGGAAAAAAGTGGATCAGGTTCAGTCATATTGATCTACACTGCTAATGGGGCTGGAACATCTAATCCATGAGGAGACAGCAATAACAGATTAACAGTGTGACAGCAATGATAAAAACCAGCAGTGGAAGGAATGAAAGTACATCTTACTGCTGGGTTTTTAAGACATCTGAAAAACAGAAGAACAGAATGGCGTCTCTTCCACTCCCCTTTCCTTCCTTCCCTTCCCTTCCCACTACATCTCAACTCTTTCCCCTTCCTCCTCAGCGGCTCAGTTTCCACATTCCTGAGTTCCTAATTCCAGTCTTCTGCCACCCACACTTCTCATTAATTTTAGTCTTTCCCACTCCTCAGACTCTTTAGTCAGACACTCCCAACTTCCTCTCCACTAGTACCCGTCCGTCATCCTTCCGGCCCCCCACATCTCCTGCCCCAATCTAGTTCTTTCCTAGCTCTTGGCCCTCTGTGTGAGTAGGGCTATTATTTTTTTCCAGGTTGTCTGAATGCCAGCAGCAGGAGCACTGTGAGCACAACAGCTCCTTCCTGCTCTCAGTCCTGGTGCTTACACTACAGCAGCCCACAGCAGTTGGAAAGACTAATTAACCCCCTCTACACTTCACAGGTATTACACAATTAACTGGTTAATTACACAATGACCTTAAGACCAGATACACATGCCAAGTACTGTTACATAATAAAAAGCTCCAACAGCTATAAAGTTGCTATCAAGCTTTAATTTGCACATGTAGCAGGGTCTCCTCTGCAGCTGGGAACTCCGTACAAGCCCTGGAGAGCGCAGCTGCAGAAATCACCAAGGCTCAGGGGTACACAACACCCCCCCCACACACACACACGCACAGAGAGGGCTCCTGGCTCAGGCTGCGCTTCAGAGGCAAGTGGAACCAGGAACACCAGCAGTTGCACAGCTGTCAGTCCTGGTTGTGTATGGGTCCTGCAGCTGGAAGCCTCCTTAGCAAAGTGGGCTTCTAGCCATGGGAGTCTGCTTCTTGCCAGTGCAGAACTGGGCTCCCCCTGCGCCAGCAATAAAGCATGATTGGCTCTAACGCACAATCCCATAATTTCATCTCCTGCCGAAGCTGTGGCATGGCAGAAGGCGTGATTGTGTGGATCATGCATTGGATCCAATCATGCCTTTACCTGCACGTGTTAGAGGGAGCCTTAGAAACATGAATAGCATAGACACAGTCTTTAGGGAATTTAGCTGATGAACTGTGAACTAACTCCATGCATGTGCACAGCTGGTCCTTAACTTGGCCAAATTAGGATGTTTTCACAGGGTCAAAAGGCACATCCCTGCCATAAACACCAAGCTCCATGCCAGATTTCAAACCTTTACTTCAAGAACTGGCAGCACTAAAATTTCTCAATGGAACAATTAAGAATTTTTAACACAGTAAAGATAGAAGATTAGGAAAAAGAAGCCTGTGAAATGGCTGAATTCTGCAGAAGTTTCCCTAAATAATTCAGCGTGAAGCAGTCAGAAGCAACCTGAACCCGACTACCCAACATGGAAAGTTTCAGTTTAAACAATTTCAAAAAGGCAGATGAAAGCAAAATTCTAGAATGGGAAGTATTAGTCAACTTTAACATAGGTATAAAAACCAGGAAGACGGGGGATAGAGGATACAGTTAAAGTACTGGTGGAAAGGAAGTATCAGATTTCTGTATTCCAGTATTCCAAAAAACAACACATGCAGGCAAAAAATGAATAAGTTGTGTAATCTTTTTTTTTTTGTTTTTTTTTTTTAAAGATAACATCAAACTCTCTCTTCTCCAAATCTTATTGTAAAACACTAGCCACAAAGGCAAATGCAAACATTTACGTGGAACAAAACAGATAAGTTGTCAAGTGTCACGATTCAAACTTGCGCAAGGATTATATTCGTTTGCTCTCTACAAAACCCAGGCACATCCAGAAGTTTTCACTTCTCCAGCAATATAGTACTATGAAATAGGCCCCTTGTTAGAATCCTCCAAAGATGTGCACTGTTACAGTACCAGAAGCAAAACAATTCTACTTTTCACTGTTCTTATGGAAATACAAGGTTAAGGTAGTGGATTTTTGGCAGCTTGTGCCAGAAGGTAAGCCTCACCTCCTTTGAGTGCCACTCCAATCCCATTCCCCTGCCTGATAAGCTCTTCTGCTTTCTGCCCCATCTGCTATTGTGTTCCTTGTTCCTTCCCAATCTACCACATGCCACTCATGGCATGCATACTGCAGGTGGCCACTCCTGTGTTTAGGTACGAACTTCAGAGTGTAAATCTTGTTCTTGGGCATCTTTTACACACTTAAGATCTAGACCATGTTTCTTAGTAAATGTATTATGTTGGACTATCAACTAACTGACAAAATCTTGCGTAAAATGTACTAATTTACGTGTGCCATAATATTCCTGCAAAACCTCATATTTGCATTTTGTAGTATTACTGTTGAGATTAAGTAATTTAACAGAGTATAGTATGTTACACTGGCAGCC